AATATAAGAAGAAGTAAAGGAAAAGGAAGAAGAAGAAAAGATGACGAAGAAGAAGACGAGGAAGAAGAAGAAGATGAGGAATGAGAAGAAGATGAGGAATAAGAAGGCGAAGAGGAAGAAGAATAACAGGAATAAGAAGAAAAAGAGGAAGAAGAAGAAGAAGAAGAAGAGGAAGAAGAAGATGACGGAGAAGATGATGAGGAAGAAGAGGAAGAAGAAGATGAGGAAGAAGAAGAGAAGAAGATGAGGAAGAAAAGGAGGAAAAACAATAGGAAGAAGAAGATGAGGAATAAGAAGAAGAAGAGGAAGAAGAAGAAGAAGACGAAGAGAAGATGAGGAAGAGGAGGTGAAGATGAGGAGGAAGAGGAAGAAGAAGAAGAAGAGAAGACGAGGAAGAAGAAGAACAAAAACAAGAGGAAGAAGAAGAAGAGGGATAACAAGAGGAGAAGATGAGGAGGAAGAAAAAGAGGAAGAAGAAGAAGAAGAAGAAGAAGAGGAAGAAGAAAAAGAAGAAGAGGAAGAGGAAGAAGAAGGTGAGGAAGAAGAAGAGAAGACGAGGAAGAACAAGAACAAGAGGAATAAGAAGAAAGGAAGATGAAGAAGAGAAGATGAGGAGGAAGAAGAAGAGGAAAGAGAGAGTAAGAAGAAGATGGGGAAGAAGAAGAGAAGATGAGAAGATGAAGATTCAATATCTAACCACATCTTCCCCGACCAATCTACAATGAAATTAGTGGGATTCTATATTCATCCATGCTCAACAGTTTTATTGAAAACTCCTCAACTTACAAATGTATTCAATAACAGAAATAGTTTGTGTGTGCTTTTATCGTACATTCTCTCTCATATATTAATTATCACATAAATTGCAGTATGCACATGTATAAATGCAGAGAAATTATCCGGGATACATTGTGCAAACCTCTATTCCTGTTTGTTACGGGGCAACTATGCTTCCAATCTCTCACAGTTATTGCACGTCCACAAAGAGTGTTGGAACGTTAGAATACTATCCTTTTTCACCTTCAGACAAATCAAAAAATACTTCCTTTACCACAAACGTTATTCATTAGGTTTAGAAATTTTCTAACATCCCACATGGGTTGTGTTGTTCACCAGTTACTTTTTCCAGTCTTCTTGGGGAGGATTCTATTCTTCCGATAAAATCTGTAATGCAACTATGCAACTAATACCAAACGCTTGACGTCCTAGAGTGATCTCTGTGGATATTATTCTTACTAGGCACTTTGGTGCCTCAAGCAAGCTAGATTCTTCTATACTGAAATCTATTCCTCGTCAGTGGCATGGTGAGCTGTACCAACCCATGTGCACATCAGCCACACTGACTAGTTTGGTATTTTATCTTCCTCCAGTTATTCTAATCGCCAGTCCATTCCTCCCTACTTATCGACTCACTTTTTAGTCATCCTGAAAGTATAATTCAAGTACTACCCGCGTGGTTGTTTGTTTCACCAGTTTCAATTTCGTCAAATTTCGTTCATCGTTTCACATAAAACTTTTTCAGAATATCCTCATTCATAACAATGCTGAAAGTTGAAAAATCATTCGGTGTGTGCAGAAGGCTTTTGCGGACTCGGCTTGAAAAGTTGAATGACTTATCTTCATTGTCCTATGATACAAGTGTAACTCAGTTATAACTTTACATTTGGAAATAAAATTCGGTAATTCGAATTGACGGAAGGAAAAACATGTTTCGGGAATGAATCTAACTCTGGTTCAGTCAATGGTGTAGGCATTCTAACCTGCCAAATTAAATGTACCTAGTTTCGATGAACAATTCAATTCAGTTCAGTTCAGTTCGGTTAGGTTATACTCATGGCCAAGAACATGCTATTGTCTGTTGAAATACTCCTAATGGATTACAAAATCTGTATCTGATTGAATCAAAACAAATGGTTTACGCTGGTAAATTTTGGAACATTGATGGTATCCTATGCCCCAACACTTACTCCCTCCCCACACACGCACAGCGGTTGTCCCACGTGACCAACCCACACAATCTGCTAGATGACGATGAGTGACAGCGGGACGAGTATTCAGATTAACGACCAGTTTAATCAAGATTTATTTTTCACCGGCAGTCCATTTTTGTCGACTTCCGTGCACTGTAGTCCTCCTTAGTTTTTTAAGTTGAAAGTGAAGTTGGTTGTTTACAGGAATTTTGAAATAATCTGTCAAAAAGGATACCCTGAAAGAATTGTTCAGAGCATTTTATTGGCCACAGTGATCATTCAGACGTTCGAAACCCGTTCGCCCCCGCCCATCTCAATCTATCTGGTGTCATCGCTCTGGCTGCTTCGGATGTGACTGTTGGCTCACGCTGATTGTCAAACTCCTTTAAACACCGCGTACAAGTGGATCAATGGGGCGATAGGAATC